CACATGTAGGCACACGACTGAAGACATGCATGTTCTCAGTATTTACGACAAAGCATCTCCATTGCTGCTGCTACTGAGAAAGGGAGGGCAATTTTGTTTTTCCTGTATGTGCAGCTAACAATTCCTGGAACCCCAGTTCTCCTCCCACTTCCCTTTTACCCTTTCCTGGCTCCTTTCCTCTGGGATCAGCCTGAGGCTCTGGGTTACCCATAACATTGCTTTTCTCCTCTTCCTCCCAAACCTTGCCAAAGAATAAAACCTTGAGATTTTTGAGTTGGTTTTGCATAGAACAAAACATAGGAAAAACAGAGATAGCACAGCTCTCCTGGAGTTTCAGCTTTGGGTTATCTGTGCAGTGCTGGGCAGTGAGGTGCAGCACACCTTCAGGACCCATGATAGCCCAGGATACCCGCTGTGCTGCTTGGGTACAACCTCCTTTCTATATTTCTGCCACTTTCCTTAAGGCCTGGCCTCAGTAATCAAAATCTTGAGATAATTCTGACCCTAGTTTAATCCTTGCGGCAGTCACCCCACTGGCACAGCCTTATGCCAGCAACAAAAGTAGGAAAGAGCCTGATCCCATAGGAGACCCAGGAGACACCTGAGGGGATGCAGCTGTACTTAAGAGGCTCATTACTTAATACATCTTCCAGGCATTAAAATCCCAGCATGCACTGAATGGCTTCAAGAAAGATAAACACAAAATCTGGATACAAAATTAGAAATGGAAATGATGGAGTAAGGGAAGCAGTGGGTGCCACAAGCATTCTTCATGTCTCTTTGTATGCAGCTGGATTAAATGCTGGACCTCATTTTATATTACAGCACTACATCCCTTTTGGAGGGCAGAAAGGAGTAGTACAGGAGTAAGAATGGCAGGACCTGGCTTTGCTTGGGTATTTTCTACAGCCCTGGTCTGTGTTAGGGGGAAGGTTTTCTTCTGCGTGACTGAAGCAGGGAGATGTTTCCCTCTCACATAAGGAGTTTATGGCTGATCCCCAAAGGCGACCAATTCCCCTTATTTCTTGTCTCATGCCCTGACCTTAAAGTTGTCTGTCCTTCCTGAATGTCTTCTGCATGCATGCTGCAAGGAGGGCTGGGAGCACAGCCCAATTTGAGGCCATAATAATGTAGATCAAGGCCTTTTTATTACTGCTCACCATGCCAAACAGACCGTGGCATGTGGGCCACTGCCATGTGCTGGGGCATACCTGTCACCTTGGGATCACTGTACTTGGAGAGAAGCCAAGTCCCTGCACTGGGCCCATGTCACATGCCACTTACAAGGCCTTCTTTGGGCAGGGGTCCTGACACAGTGTGCAGCCTGGCTGGAGATCCTGTCCCCCGGCCTCACAGGTCACTAATGATGTGCAAGCCACAGCCTGGCACAGCCAACAGCAGACCTTTACACATTGAACCGTGTGTCTGCTTGGGAAGTAATTCACCTTTATCATTCTTTTACAAAGAGTAGCCTGCATGATTTGCCAACTTGGAAAGCCATGATGTGACATTTCTTAAAACAGGGACTTTAGAAAAGATTTTAAAGTTCTGTTTGAAATATTGTTTTTGTATTGAAGTAGTGATGTGTTGTCTTTCTTTCTCTGACCAAGCTCAGAAGCTAAAAAAAACTATTTTCAGTGTTTAAATATGATGCTGACTGTTTAATGCCATAATGGTGTTGGCTGGAAAGCCCCACAATGTCAAAAGACTTTTGACCCACCCTACGAGGAAAGTTTCGGGTGAGGCAGGCAACAGTGAAAGTAGTGCAGCTGTAATAACTATTTGGTGATGCATAGACACAGTTCAGTGTCCAACAGGGGACTATTTTAAGTATTTATGTCCTGTCCATTGCAGCTAGGGCTCTTGGTCCAAATGAAGAACAGACAGCTGCACCCACACTGATTCTTAGACGATTCCTCTGATTCTCCTTGGCCCTACACCAGCAATAGCCTTTTATCCCCCCCAGTCCTCACGCACACAAGCAGTGGCAGCAGCTAGTGTAGTGCTATTGTCCCAGTGAAGTTGCACTGGGCTCCCCTCACTCAGGATGCAGCCTTTGGTACCTTACTCTAGAAAATGGGCAAAAGAAGGCAAAAGAGCAGGATTTTTCCAGCTGTCTTTGGCTTGGTCGCAATTCTTTTTCGGTTCATTTTCGCACTCTGGATGAGAGGAGTTGTTACCCGTCTCACTAGACAGGGTGTTTCAGGTCTGTAGGGTGCAGCTTTGGCATGCAGTGATGGCAGCTATTTGCTCAATTTCCCATTGCTCAGGGCCAGCGTGGGGTAAGCAGCACCTTCTCATTCCCACTGATCCCTGCTGGAACAGTGTCAGCCCTACCTGGCCTTACAAGTCAGCTCCACTTTCCTTTTTATTTAAAGCTATAAATTAGCAGCCAGGAAAACACCTGGGTGTCAACCCCTGGCAGTCCTCAATTTCCCAGTGAGGTGCAATGGAAAACTGAGAAATGGAGAGAAGCGCTAGAAGAAAAACAAACGGCAAAACAGAATATCCTATAAGATGGGTCCTAGCTCCCTTACATTGTAATATTACTTAGGTCCCCATAGCTTCATAGTCCTATGGTTATGACAAGAGGTATATATATACATATGTACACACACAAGGTAGATAAGATTGCAGGCCACAGATCAGGCCGGGTAGCCAGTGCTACCAGAAATGTTTATATAGGATTCACAGGGGAAATTCACTGAATATGGAATAGGAATGTGGTATTCAGGAGTACAAGCAATTACAGAAAGATTCAGCATTCTGGAAGTTTCTGCAAGAAGGTTTTGTCAGAGGTAATTTAATCCAGATCTCCCACATACCTCCCCAGTGCTTAATCTGCAAGAATATACTTGTTCCCTAATTACAAAAGAGCACCAAGGATCTGTAAGTATTTCTGCCAGTGGGATTGATGAGTGTTGGCGTAATCAGAGAAACCCTTGACTGCAGGTTTTCAAGTGTCCAGATCAGCTCTGGAGTTTGGAGAGCAAGAGCATACAAGGACAAAAAAGACTGGTGAAAAAACAAAGCGGTAGGTCAGAGTGCTTGATGCCATGCTAAGTGGCACTTTTTAATTCTCCACCCAAAAAAGATCATTTAGGAGATGTGGTCCAGATTAAGCTTATGACATCCTGATTGCCTTGTACCAGTTCTTAAAAGGGTGAAATTTCCTTTGCCCTCTAGTAAGGTCTCAGTATCACCTTGGAACTTATCCTGACTGGGTTGTGCAACCTTTGCTCACACTGCTGCCCTCAGTTCATCAGCCCCTCTGCAAAAGCCAGTTCTTGTACTGCCGAACCAGTTTTGTGTATATTTGCACCTTTGATGTAGATGTCCCCTTTGCAGTACCTCTCAGGTAGGGATCTCCAAGACCCAAATAAATGTTAGTTATGAAACTCTAATGCAAGCCTGTGAAGTGGTTCATGACTTTCCTTTGTCACATGAAGAGGAATAAACAGAGGTGCCGAGCTGGTAAGTGGTTTGTCCAAGATTAGAGTTGTAGGTGGAACACAATTGGAGCTAAGGGTATCAGTGGAAATATAGGGTCCTGCTTTCAAATCCTTGCCTTTTACTGACAGAGCTGCAATTTTGAGACCTCACTGCCTTTAAAACACCACCAGAGTTCATTTGGCCTTGGCCAAGCCTCCTGATTCCCTGCCATTTCATTTATTTCCTTTGAATACATGGGATTAAAGAAAAAATGGGTTTGTTCCCAGACTGACTTTGCCCTCCTAACATCTCAGGATCTGCCCATAGTAGGAGAAGGTTTACCAGGACAGTGGGCAGTGGAAGGGGAAGGGAATGCTTGAGGACTGCCTGGTGGGTGTGATGGTGGGTGTCTGCAACCACACAGAGGGGACTGTGCCCATCCTTGGGTGTGACCACCTGGGTGTGAGGATGGCCCCTACCTCAGAGCCATGCTGTTGCATATACTATGTATTCTACACCAGCTGGTGTGGTTCCTGTATGTCAGAGTGCAAACGCAGACAGGGAGGTACCCAGGGACAAAGGGGGAAGGTGTAAAAAAGTGAGTAAAGTCCTTTCATGCAGCATGGTCAGAGACCCAGTTATCTACAGACACATAAGGCTCCTTTACCTCTCACTCCTCCTCATTGTCACCTTGATGGCCACATTCCCATGCATCTGCCTGGGAAACGAGGGCTGAAGGTGCCCCCCCAGCAGGCAGCTTGCCACAGCTATCGGATGATCTCCCTCGGCAGCACACCGCCACCTCCGGGAAGCCTTCACCTGTTGTCTGCTGGGCTCCCTCATCACCACTGATAGCATCGCCACCGTGACCTTGAAATCCTTCTCACAAGTGCCACCCTGTCTCTTGGCAGTGGGAAATCAGATTTTTCCTTCCCTCGGCATGACTCCCTGCATTCTCATTTCTGAAGAAGGAGCCAGGGAGGGAATGAAGCTTTTCCCTGTGCAGCAGTGACTCTATTTTCAGCTGTAGCCCAACAGATTGCTTCGCTCTTCTGCCTTATCATCCAATACCACCTTAATGCATGCAGCTACGCAAGGTTACTATTAGTGACTGATATTGCTGGTGCTGCGGGCTGGAGGTTTTAACCCTAAATGAACCAAAATCTCTACACTAGATCCTTAGCTCTCCCCAGGTTTTCAGATTGTATCAGTTATTATTTTTGAGCTTTTTTTTTTTTTTTTTTTGTAAACCAGAAAATGCGGTTTGTTTGTTATGCCAGAGGACGATAAAGAGAAAAGTCAGCCGTTCTCTAGGACCAAATCAATCAGAGGTTTACCTTGCAGGGAGTGACTGACAGGTCTGGCCCTCTGGCACCGTAATTTATTTTCCAGGCTCAACTCTTCGCAAGTATCGCATGTCACGCTTTTAAAGATGCATACATATATATATATATAGAACCAGCCAGGTGGTTATATTTAGTGCAACTGTAGGTACAGAAGCACTTCTTTTTTTAGCTTCTGTTGGTGCAAATATAGAGATAGGAGGGAATCAAACAGTCTCTCTTAACCTCTCTCCTGTGCTCCTGCGAAAGCATCCCTTCCATTTGGCAATGTACCCAGAGGAGTCTGCAAAACTGCTATTAAGGAAGGGCTGTGGAAGGAACTGGTTGAGGAATGGTGAGTTTATGAGACGTTCCCAAATTTCAGCCAAAGATGCGAAATACTCTCATTCCACTGTGGAACAAAAATGGGGTACAAAATAGAAGTAACAGTTTCTCCCCCACAAGCTGGAAGGTCAAAACAATTTATTTTGACCTTTTAAAACCCATTTTGACATTTTCAAACCTATTTTGAGGCTATGCGGATCACAGGAGGTGCACCAGGAAACCCCAAAGGGTGAACACCCCTGAGTTAAACACTAACTTCAAGATCAGTATCCTGTCTTGTATCAGCAATAGTGTGGCCAGCAGGACCACAGCAGTGATCATCCCCCTGTACGTGACACTGCTGAGGCTGCACCTCAAATCCTGTGTTCTGTTTTGGGCCCTTCACAACAACAAAGACATTGAGGTGCTGGAGAAGAGAAAGACAATGGAGCTGGGGAAATGTCTAGAGAGTAAGTCATATGAGCAGCAGCTGAGGCAGCTGGGGTTGTTTAGCCTGAAGAAAAGGAGGGTCAGGGGGGACCTTATTGCTCTCTACAACTACCTGAAGGGAGGTTGTAGACAGGTGGGCGTCAGTCTCTTCTCCCAAGTAACAAAGGAGAGTATGAGAAGAAATGGCCTCAAGTTGCTGCAGAGGAGGTTTAGATTGGATATTAGAAAAATATCTTCTCTGAAAGGGTTGCCAAGCATTGGAACAGGAGTCCCAGAGAGGTGGTGAAGTCACCAGCCCTGGAGCTATCTAAAAGATGTGCAGATGTGGCACTTAGGGACATGGTCCAGGGGTGGACTTGAAGAGCTGGATTAATGGTTGGACTCAATGACCTTAGAGGTCTCGTTCAAGCTAAATGATTCCATTCTGTTCTATTCTATCCTCCAGTTCAGGATCCCCCAAATGCACCTGTCTTAGCAGATTGGTCTGGGTCCAACCACAGGAAGTGCTACAAACTCTGTGAAACCCTCAAGGCTCCCAACCCTTCTTGACCACTTCCATCCTGGTAAACTGGGCAAAGTGGGGAAACTGGGCATCTCCAGAATGTAGGTCCAAGCTCTGGGAGGCAAATGGAGTCTGAGGAGTCTGCTGGAGTCCATTGATGTCCTGGCTATACCCCTGTGGAGCATGTTAAACAACACAAATACACATTTTCCATGGAAAAGATGTTCCAGGCAGCCCTGGTTTCAGACTGTGCATCAGAGAGACCCCTGGCAAGGAGCTGCTGGCTGAAGGAGTGAGTAGTGCAGCAGGGGAGGAGAGCACAGCATGCAGGGATCCCTGGGGATGCAGAGTCCCTTGCCAGCTCCCAGCTGTTCCTGACAGCTGCATCCCTTGGCCTGACAGCAACTGCAACCACCGAAAGTCATGAAAAACAGACAAGTTTAACAGATACATGGGCTTTCTGTCAGATCTTAAGAGAAACCTCTGCTCTGGCCTGAGCAAGTGTTTGTGTGTCCCAGTATATACGATTTTTTCAGGCTGTTTTCAGCTGGTCTGATAAAAGGTGTTACTTGGCCCTGCAGGTCTCCTTTTGCTTTAACACACAGGGGTACGTACTTCTGCATAGCCTGTTATAAATGCACCATAAAAACAAAGGCTTGCATTTTTGAAATGCCATTGTCCATTTGTATTTCAGCTTTCCCTTTCTCGTCTGTTTGGTATCTACTGGTCTGTCCACATATGTACACGCTCATTTGTACATGCACAAATCAATTGACACGCACCCTCTCCTGTGCAAATAAGCTTGTCCCTCGGGTAGTTGTATATCACAGGCCAGTGACACCTCCATAACTTCTTTTAGGAGCTGGAGGTAAGTTTTTCACACGTTGACCTTGACTCCTCTCTACACCAAGAAAAAGAAAAAATCTTTGCTCCTAAAATCTCAGACCTTGTTTTTCACACTTCTCAGAAGGAGAGGAGGATAAAGCACGTGCAGACCTAAGAGTGTATTTTATAACCATTGAGAAAGTAATAAAATCTTCTGCTTCAAAGCAGAGATACATAATCCATGTGTATCTGCCTGGAGCTGGTCTGAGCAGAGCTCCCACAGGGCTGAGATATGACAGATGCAAGGTGATGGACGCAGTGTCACAGGCTGTTTGGAAGTGGCAGTGTTCATATCCTGAGTATAGGTAAGCGCTTGGAAGTTATTACATCCCTTGCTCAATGGGTGAGAAAGGTAAGGAGCACTTTCAGTAAGGTCTAAACACATGGGGCAGTGATAAATGCAAATCCCTCAGGCTCTGCACAACAGGGGTAATGGGTCTTCAGCTTCAGCAGAAAGAGAGTTACAGTCTGACTGACCTCGTCCAGGAACACAGAAGAGAAAAAGACAAGAAACTGCAGGAAGCAGTAGCTATGACAGAAAGAGGAAGAGGTGTTTGGGTTCCAGGATCTTAGAGACATGGGACTGCCCTGGCCACGGTCATCATGGGGGGAAGACAGGTCACACTGCCTGACAGCAATTTGGCCGAAAGCATGCTAGTGGCAGACTGCACATTTATCTTGGTTGAAATAACACTTTTTTGGGGTCCGCTGAAGCCAGCTGAGCATCAGCACTCATCCTGGGTACCTCCAAAACAGAAGTCAGCCCTGGGATGTGCATCTCAGCACCCCTGGGGTGTTAATGTGCCTGCAGGTGAGGACAATTGTAGGGGCAACTTCTCACTGGGGCTGCAATTGCTAAAGGCGCAGCCAGCAAACCTGCCAAAGTCATCAGGACCAGGGAGAAATGCCCTTGGGACACAATGAGACACTGACAGTTCAGGAACTGACAGCCTGGGACTAGCCCTGCCAGGATCCTTCTTTGCAGAGAGGTCTGAATGCCTGTGGTGTGCTGGTTAAAGAAAGACATCTTTCCCTTGCCATTTTTCAACCTTGAATGATGTATAATCACCAATATTTGCTGAAGCTGCTTGTTAATGATGTTTACTGAAAGGTATTTCCCCCTGTGTCTACCCGAAAGACACGATGCTGTCCCACAGTACACAGCACAACTCTAAACTGCCAGGAAGGTAAAGCAAAAATATCACCTTTTCCAAGGTGTTAAATGACTAGCATGGACTTGCATACTTAGTGTACTCTGTTCCCCTTTCTGCCACAATCAATACCACTCTGATTTCTTTATCACGGATGACGGGGGATGGAGATGAGCGATCCTGTTCATACCTCAGCTTTGGCATTTTGATTCCCAAACAGCCCATTCACTAGTAGCATAAAAATAATGTAAAAACAAATAGATCAAATAAATGTAGCTTGAAGACATTCTCTATTACAACCCTGTTCTGTATTCTATAAGCAAAATATGTACTGCGCATACAAACACCGGGGGAATGGAGGGTTGCAGGTATTAACACTGACATATCAAGAGGTTCCTTCATGAGACTGTATTATCTATGCAATCACCTACAAGTATTTACATTTCACGAATGACGTTTTCCAAACATCACCTCCAGCTGTACTGCCTCGTGCTGTTCTCGGGAAGTTCAGGCAGAGAACGAGGCCAAATCAAGTCTTTCGGGGGTGTTTTTGTGAAAGACCCGGCTGTAGGGGGAAGCAGTGAGTGTTGGTGACCTTGGGTCGGGGTGATTCTGTGGCAGGATAGAATTGGAGTGATTCTGATTCCCTGTGCTGCTGGAGGTAAAGCATCATGTTTCTAGAAGACATCAGTCAATGGCCAAGACAGGCAAATCCACAGGAGTAAAAAGGGCGTGCAAATCCCTAGTTGGATTCTTCCTCTAACCTTCCGCAAGGTTAGGTGGGGTTTTCTTCTCATATTTTGACACTGGTTTCTTTGAACAAAGTTTAGCATAGGCAGGCCTTGCAAACTATTTCCTAGGACTCATCAGTGGGGCAGTTGTGGCAAATTTGCCACTCGCACAGTGGGGCAGAACTCACATGGCATTTTTAGAACTTCACTGGATAAAAAATGTGTTAATGAGGAAGAAAGTTTAAAAGAGTCACCCATTCTGCAAACAGCCTCTCTCTGCAGATATGCTGAGTGAACACAACAGTGCTGGCAGTTCAGAAAGTTTGAAAAACACCATAATCAATTAATTAATTTTTTTCAATATCAACCCACTCCTAAATCCTGACCACTAGTTCAGATAGGGCATTTTATGACTCTAATAAAACAAATTGTGGTGTTAATTGTCCCAGATTCAGTTCAGCAGGTTGCCTGCAAGTACCAGACTGATTCCAGGTCTGCATCATGTCCTGATTCCAGCACAAGTTATCCATTTTACTTACTTAAATTCCCTTTGCAGTTCCAATGAGACATGTGACTCTTCTCTACTTCCTCTCCTAAGTCATTGTGATTACCTCTGCTGATAAAAAGCGCCTGTTTCACTTAGTACAATTTAAAGGGTAAACAAAAAACCACACACACTCTTTTTCAAAAAGTGAAGTATCTTGGAACAAAAGGTGTTAATATCTTAAAAATTATTAACCTATGCCCTTCCTGCTCAAAGCAGGAATCCAAATTTGGAGCGAGGCCAATTTATATGACACTGTATGAATATGTGGCTTGTATTTCTATAATTTTTCTTTTTTATGTGCCAACGAGCAGAGCAGGAGGTGACTGGGATGTGGGAGACCAGGGCTAAACTTCCACTCTGCCCAAGGGAATGTGATACACTGCTTTGCCTTTTACTAGGAGAGTCTCTTTATCCTCTGCTTTCCAGCTGTCCTGGGCAGTGGGTGCTCCCAGCCAGCTGTTGCTAAACATTCTACTATTTGTTGGCAGTGGGAAAAGAAAACAAGGGAGTGCCCATGGGAGGCTGGAGAGACATACAGTATTGTAAATAGATAAATAGGTAAGCAGAATCCAATCAGAGAAATAAATTAATTTAGCATTCAGCTGTAGGTCCCTCCAAGTACACCCCAACTGCTGCAGTAATTGTGCTGAAGCCAAGGGAGCTTCAGGATTTTCTCTCCAACTGCAAAACCTGCTGTGGCACCTCTGAGATCACTTGTCCTGCGCTTTATCTCAACTTCATGACCACTGGTCAGGGAAATATAGCTGCTGCCTGAGGGCAGGTCATGAGAGTTCAGGTCATGCCTCTCTGACCTTCCTCAGTCTTTTTGTGGGATGCTGAGGGCACAGATACTTTTCATAGATACCATGTTGGCAATGGAGTCCCATGTGAACCTGTGCCATTGGTATCCAGCTTCTTCGCTATCCCAGAACAAACTGAGTTGTCCACTGTCCAGCTGTCTGGGCATTACCCAAATCTTGGTGAGTCGCTCCATTGCATTTTGGTGGCTTTTGGAACAGACCCTTCCTGAATTTTGTCTTCAGAGCACCACTGTGAGTTTTGCATTTACAGATGAAACTTAAAGTGGCTGCAAATTAGGACAAATAAAGCTCAGCTTAGAAAGAAGTCCTTGCTACAAAAAAAAAGGAGGACACCAGTCTGCCATGTAACAGGCTCATCTACAGCCATACCTCCTGTTTTGTGGATTCTCCAAATACCACAGTTCCTCCAAGAGAATAGTAGACCTAAATCCATCATACTTAAGACATACAATTAGATTAACCCTAATCATATAATTGTGCCTCTGTAAGTAAAGTATCTGTAGATGAACTCCTGTCCATTATAGGAACTGTTTCTTCTGGCATCAGTCATTTGTACTTCCACAACAGGTGCTGCTAAGTATTTCTCAGCTAAAGAAAGACAGGTGAATGGGTAAAGTTATGTCACAAGGAATACTGTTATATTTGAAAAACTCTGAGGTAAACAAGATCACCTTGTAGTAAGTTAGAAGTGCTTCCCCTTAGCGAGGTGAGAATTTGCACTAGCTCAGGTAAACAGCAGGGATTAGTTATGGCAGAGACGATCTGCGGGCACTACAGGGCCTGATCCAAACCCCTTTCATGCTCTAGGAGGTTCTTTCTTGCCTTCCACAGGCACAGAAAGAACCAACCGTATGGGAATTACCATTGTGTCGGTCAGTGCCAAGATCTGCCATGAAAATCTCAAAAAAAATCTTTTCCAAAAGCCCTGCTACCAAGACAGATAATGAAGAAGATGAAAGCTTACTCATTTTACATTCCTGTGGGTTCCTTCTCTTTACCCACCTCAGACCTGTGAGACCTTCTGATCTGTCTCCTAGACTGTTGTTTTCCATTTTGACTCTCAGGCTAGCATGAAAAAACTTCTCATGGCAGAGCAGTACAACAGATCTGCTGTTCCCACCATCCTTCTGTCTAAATTGCATCACAGCTTCTGAAGCAAGGCCTGGCAGGGTGGATTTTACCCACTGCGGGTAGTTCGTGGAGAACCACTGCATTTAGTCTGCAATTCATATCTCCTTTACAGCCAGAGTGTGGAAAGGGGTCTGAGCAGAAATTGAAATCAGCCTCCTGGGTGCTACGGTGAACAGGCAAAGTCAGCACACCCCCAGTGACACCCTTGGGATGTAGGCACCTATAAAGAAAAAAAATGCCTTAATCACTTAGAGTCTGTCCACAGTATTTATGGAAAGCTGATGCCTACAAGCGTTTACAGAATTGCATGAATGGGAAAATGTTTGAACGAGATGTTGCTGTGCAGGCAGCCACCACGTGGGACCCAGTCAGCCAGCCTCCTGTATCAGGATAATAGTACTTTGTTAGCAGTCTTGTCATCTCCACCTCTGCAAGTGTTCCTCTGCAAGTCTTGCACCTTGGTGAACCACAGGGTCATTTCCAGTCCCTGGAAGTATGCTCCCTGCTGAAGAATGAACAGGGGAATGATTGCATGTGGGAAAATAGTATCCTGAAAGGATACCTAGCTTTCTCTGGAAGAGCTGGAAAATAGCTGTTTCCTGAGCCCCAGGGTGGGTGCATTAGGGAAAGGAGAGGTCTGAGAGCACTGACTGTGTCAGGCCCACCGAAGATGGAGGGCTGAACTCTGACCTGGCATCTTTGGTAGTGATGCTAATAAAAACATTATGTATTATGGAGCCATGTGTTGAATACAAGACAGAACTGGGCTGGTTCTTTACATCTACCTGGTATATGGGTCACACAAGCGCTTCCTCAAACAAAGATTTGCAGACAGACTGTGTTCAGGTCAGTTGAAAGCAGATCACAGCTTCCCAAAGGACATCAAAGATAAGATAACAAGCACACACAAAAAAATGCAGTCTGCCTTGAATTCCTCTGGAGGGTCACTGGGGCACTGCAAAGCCAGCTCTGGGTTGAATGAGCTGGTTTGCCTATTCTCCTTCCAGGAAAATATGGTTTTCTCTCCACAAACCTCAGTAATTAGAAAAAGAGAGATGTGTAGAACAGTCTTGTCTCTGGAGCAAGGGTGCAAACATCAGCTCTGGATTGACTGTTTATGCATGTGATCTGCTGTGCCTGGGGATCACATGGCTTGACCTGCACCACATTGCAACACAGAAACCGAGAGCGGGGCACAGGGTCAGACCAAAGTTTCTGGGTCATCCTGGTAGTGCATTCCCAAAAGCAGCCAAGGGTGAATGGGGAGTAAGAGAAACCTGGCGAGAAGATAATCCATCTCATCGCCACATTCTCATCTCCTGGCAGACGTGAGGCTTGAAGGACTGCCTGAGCTGGAGCTTGCAGCCAAACCTCTGTGCCCTGCAGCACCAGTTAGTCCATCTCCCCGACTCGGGCTGAGTCCTGTTGAAACCTGTTTGTACTGGAGGCCTCCACATTATCTGGTGCCAATGAGTTCCCTGGTTCAATTATGTATGGTATGGAAAAGCATTCTTTTGCGTACATTTTGAATCATTTGCCTGGTAATTTCAAAGGAGCTCCCATTCTGTCCTATCTAATTTTGAGGATGTGTGCCCAGTAGCTAGACCACAGGACTGAATCTCTGAATTAATTCTATTTTCATCTCTGTCATTCTTCTTAAAGAGCAGGTATTATTATTCATTGGGGTGAGTTTCACCTTCAGCCAGCTCAATTAAAATTACCTCAAGCAAATAGTGATCTGGAATTTGGACTGAAATGACATAGTTGAGACTAATGTTCCCTATATACCTGCACAGAACAGGTAAAAACTAAACTAGGCAATAAAGGTAAAAATTCTGTTTTAAATTTCCAATGCCTGAATTGATTTGTGCAACTGAAACTGCTGCCAACATGTTACAAGATAACTTGTCATACAGCAGTAGACCCTATTATATAGCAGAATGCCCATAATTACAGAAAGATAAGACGAGATCCCACATGTAAAGCAAAAATGTCTAATTTCTAAAAATAGTTATTACCTGAGGACTGACTATCTATCTACCTGTCTGTCTGTCTATCTATCTATCTATCTATCTATCTATCTATCTATCTATCTATCTATCTATCTATCTATCTATCTATCTATCTATCTATCCATCTATTGTAATTGTGCTATTTCTATTGATGTGTCTCCATTTCACTTGTCATTTGCCAGTGAAACAGCACAAAAATCTTGAAAAAAATCAGCCAGACGAAAGAGTGCTTAACAACCTGCGTTAGCAGCTGAGAGGGGTTCACAGATATAAAGGTGTTGGTTATATCTCAAGATGAGAAGTGGTAAGTGTCCGCATTAATTATAGTCTTGGGCACATGCTTGTACCGTGCTCACAGCCCGGCGTTAATGGGATTTTCCCCCCTTCTTTCAGAGGCAAAATCCACAAGGAAAGCCAGGCAGCCTTTCTTCAAGAGGTCGTTTGCATCCAGGACGTGTACAAATCTCTTTACATTTATTTAGAAACTAAGGCAATTAAAACACCCCAGGCCCCTCCTATTAACTCAGAAACATCATTATGAAGATGCTTATGCCACAGCGGCTTACTATGCTCGGTTTACTGGAAAACTGGAAAGCTGCGTTTTCAGCCATTTGATCAACAATTTCCCGAGGTTGTTAATGACTTGCAAAAATCTGCCCAACAGTAACAACCTCAGGGAGACCCCGCGCTGTCTCCTCTGAGAACCCCTTTTGTTTTCAGAATGAGAAATTTAATTAGGCAAGGGTTTTTTTGGCAGAGGAGTTCATGCCTTGCGCCCTCAACAAGCAAACCCTGTGTGACTGCCCAGCGCCACCCGGGAGTCTGAGCCTTGGCAGAGCCGAGGACCTACTGGGGCAAAAGAAATTAATCGATTTTAAAGTAGTTCCCACCGCGTTTTCCCCTTGTTGGGCAAGGTAAGCAGCTGAGCTCGTTCCCCTCCTTTTGGAGTTTACCCCTGTGCCACGCACGGGCTCGTACAGGGGTTTCACGGGTGGGAGAGGGGCGAGGCGGGGGCAGCAGCCAAGAGGTTGGCTGGGGCTGCTCTGGGGTTGGCCAGGAAAGCCAACACACGCAGCCGGGTGGAATTCCCCCCGGCGGGGCGATGTCTGGGAAGGGCGCACACGCAAACAAACCCATCCGGGCAGGCACAGAGATAAGGGACTGCCAGGTGCCATCAGCATTCCCCAGGGCTTTCTCAACTTCCAGCGTCCTAAAAAACCCACGCTCACGAGGCACGCTTAGGAATCCCCAAAGACTCTCCATTAAGTCACTAATTGCTGCTAATTATCGTGAGAATGATTTGTGAGTGCCGGTAATGTGCTTGGTGCTAAGGAGACTGGAGAGCAGTGCCAGTCCCCAGCCGGTGGCACTGGCGACTGATGGATGCAAAGATCACAAGCAGCAGCTTTAGCAGCAGGCAGCATTCCCTCGCTGTGGAGCCGTCCCAGGGGTGCTGAGCAGGATGTGGGCTCCCTGGGGATCACAGAGTGGGCACCTCCCAATAGGTGAAGTCAGATGGGGTGTACAGGTCACCCAAGTGTCCCCTCATCGGTTCTGGAAAGGGTTGTGCTCCAGCTCTTGGAAAAACTACCTTTTCCACCACGGCCTTGAGGTGTTTTTTTCAGCAGAAACAGAGGAATGTCATGTTTATCTGAAAAATATTAACAGTCTCTCCTCCATGTATGGTCTCATCACAGGAGATCCAAGTGTACAGACAAGTGTAACATTTCTATGATGATTGTGCCTTTTTTTTTTTTTACAGTTGCTACTTCTTCTACATGAAGAACTTTGCTTCATTTTGCTCTGAGTAGAAAACAAGAGTCTCTGCCTGACTGGTTGCACTGCACTCCTCCCTTTCCCTCCTTTGCCAAGATGTGTCTGTAGGCATGCTCCCCAAGCTATTTTAAAGACAGGCTGGCACTAAGGCACTCACAGTCAAAGGAGAGAAAAAAGATGAAGACAGATATTTGCTCTTTGCTGGCAGGGGACAGCAAGCCACTGGAAAAGTGTCCCTTTGGAGGATAAGAGAGACTCTTCCTCTTTGGCTGGCAGAGTAACACACACAGCTCCCAGCTCTCCAAAGGGAAAACAACTGCCTGTAGGTAAGTGCTCCCAGGCTTAGGCACTCCTCAGTCAGCAACTGCCTACCAGTCTCCACCTCCCTAGCTGCTGTTCTTTGGAGAGAGATTTTTCTTAAAGCAAGTGTTCCCCTGCTCCTTCTCAGCTAAACAAAATGGGCTAAATCTGTGATGGCATCTCCTACAGAGCCCCTTATTTAGTTTGCTGTCAAAATCATTGCATGTATTTTTTTTTTGCACAATTTTATTTCACAGCATAAAATTAATAGAGAAGGAGAGTGGTGCTTTAAAAATCAGTTGCAAACAGCATGTTCTGATGTAAATGAACACTCTCCAGCAGCATTTGCAAATCTGTAGTGGAGCCTTGTGCATCAGACTGAAAAGGAAAACAAACCAGGGGCCTGGCTACAGAGGGAAGCCTAGGTTTTCCTGTCTTCTTTTTTTCTCTCTTTTACAATTCAAACTGCAAGGGGGAAAACAGGCTAATAACATGCAGCTGAAAGCTAAATTAGATATTTAAATTTCAGTCTGTTAAATTAGGGAAGTAATTGGTGAAGCCTCCAAAAAGAATATGCTCAAGGTCCATGGTTCTGAACCCCTCTGTGAGATGCTGGGCTCTGCCCTGTCTCCATCTCCTGTGCAAAATAAGTGCAAGCCAGAGACAGGCATTTCCCACTCAACTTGTGTGGCTGTCAGCACCTGATTAGCAAAAGAGAAACAGGCCAAGATTGTTTTTAGCCTTACAACATCCCTTTAAAGTTTTAACTTCACAACACATTGATAAATGATGAATGTGCACCTGAACAAAATCCAATACAAAATTCCTTTTAAAAATTACATTGAAGTGAATGCAAAACATATATGGGAGTTGGAAGCTGGGTCTCCGGGCTGCTGCCTGTCTGTCAGGGCAGTCCTCTGAGCCATAGAGATTCATCACTCCCTATAGGAAGTCATTCAGAAGGAGAGCTGTGCCTTGCTAGACAACCCCTAATTTTCATATGTGTTATCTGGCCATCACAGCAACAGCCAGAATGAGATTAGGCAGACACATGGATGGATTAGATGGATGCTTTACATTCCTTCTGATGACAAAAAAAGGGCTCTGGGCAGAACACATCACTTGCCCCAAGGGAGGACAGAAAAGGTGACATTTCTGTAATAAGAGAGTAGCTCCACGGAAAAAAAATTAAGTCACCCCCATGAGTAACTCAGCTGGAAGCTTCTCCTTGCCCACTTTGACTCAGTATTTGTGGAAATTTTGCTTTCAATAGCAAAATATTACAAGCCACAAGGCTACAAAGTCAAAATGCTCTGTTTATACATAAAGCTTTTCACTGAAGTGTCTTAATAATTTAAACAGATGCTGTAAAGCAACTTGTTGAAGTGTCTCCTAAGCTTGCTGTTGAAAGCCCATCAGACCATATAGAGGACACAAATATTGGGATTGCAGATGACCTAGTGGGGCTTTTCCTACCACTGCCAATGTGGTGGGTTGGCTCTGCCTTTTCGCAGGCGCAATATTCTGTTCATGGGGGAAACAGAGAAGCTTTGCCTTGAATCTTGCAGGACAATTTGTTGCCTGAAAGGATCCACCGAGATGCAACAAGCTCTGTTTAGAAACGGACATATCCAGCCTGGAGCATGGGGAGACAGTAAAGCATCTGTTTGACTTCCTCAACGGGTTTACTGTGTGTAAATCATTTATCCCTGCTCCTGCTCCCCTTCCTTGACTCTCACAATTTGTATTTTTGTGTTAAAAAAAGCGACGCCTGCCTTTCTGTTGGTGAGCAGCTTGGGACACATTGCCTGGAGTCTGACCTCAAAGTAGGGTGGGATTTGAATCTGAAATCCACTCAGTTTGATCTCCCAAGAACTGCCGCGCTGCACAGCTTGTACATCTTTAGTAAAAGGCAAGCCTTCAAATCCATCCTTTTCAGAGGCCTGTCTCTGTTGTCAGCTGCCATCTTTTGAGAGAAAGATCTAAAATTAGAGAAAAGCTGCCCTCCACTGCTGGAGAATACCGCTGCTGTGACATATGAAAGCAGAAATAAGCTTCAAATAAAGGTCTTCTGCTTAGGCTCACGTAACGAGCAAGAAAGGCTTTGGGTCTTTCCTGTCCAGACCGGCATTTGTGGGGATCTGATTTAAATAGGCAGCCACAGCACCAACGCTTATCTTTGTCTGCCTAAGCGTTTATACTTTGCCTGTCATCATAGGTGCTGTTATTTTGATGGAAACCTACAGATCCAAGGGTTTTTCTTTTAAATACCTTTTCTAGAAATCCTGAGGGATGCCAGAAGACCCTACTCTTTTCAATAAATCAGTGAAAAAGAAAGAAACCCTCCGTATGGAAACAGCAGCTTGAGACCTTTCAAATGTGGTGGTTGGGATGAGGTGTGGACACTGAGCAGGGACTGAGCTGTGGCTGCAGCCCTGGAGGCCTCGGGTTAAAATCTATGTCCTTCAGCTCGGCCCCGAGTCTGGGGTACCTCTGGTAAGCACTGCCATATCCCCGCTGACTCCCACTGTTGCCCCTGACACCGTGGTCTCTGTGCTCCACAGCCTCTGCGCTCTGCTGCATCCCTCCCGTTAAACAGCGTTTTCCTGCCCCGGAGGGATTAGTGGGGCTTACAGGGTTAGATCTGCTCTAATGTACCGTGGCACAACAGCCCAGGCGCGGTGCCCAGGGGCGGAGAGCCCTGGGGAGACTCCCTCCTGGTGCCGGAGGGGAGAGGAGCTGGTGCCGCGCCAGGGCATGCGAATTAAGATGAGGAATGAGTTCTAGCCTCCCACTACCTACGATAAAGCAGGATTTGACTGGGAGTAAGGCAGTGTTATTGTTTCCCTTTTAATCTGCGCATTTTACAGTGTCCCGAAAGCAGAGACGCCGCTCTAACACAGCAAGGGTGTATTGCTGAGACTTGCAGCAAAGAAAACAGAAAACAAACCTCCTTCTCTTTCTTCTCTTCTCTTTCTTTTCTTCTCTTTTTCTTCCTGCTCCCTCCCCACCCTGGGCATCCAAGGTCCCCCGTCCCCGCTGTGTCATCGCTCAAGCCTGCCCTGCGCTGGTGATGTTATGCCTTAAACTACACACCGATGGCTCCAGCAAGGGTCAGGGGCCCTTCCTGCAGCCCAGGCTGGCCGTGCTCAGTCACTCCGGCAGCATTGGCATGCTGTGTCCCACAGAAGCAGGCAGCAGGGGGGAACAAGCAGCTTGCTGTCAAAGAGACATCCCGGGCATTTGGAGAAAGAAAAACTTAGAAACGGCCTCAGCAGTCACCTGGCTGAACAATAGGTTGTTCAGTAGCTGATTTTAAAAAACACTGGCTAAAGGTGAGTACACTGAGGCCAAGCCCTCACCTGCCAGATGGAGTTCATGGGGAAGGAATCAATATCGGGACCAAGAGAGAGGGAGAAAAACGGGACCAAGGGAAAGGTGCACGTGTGAGGAGGCTTTGTTTTTGCAGGATTAGAGCAGATACCTTCAAAGCTCCTTTCCCACATTGCAAATGCAGGAGAGACTGCTCCCTGTTTTCATCCTCCAGGTTCTCCCTCCAGTGGGGCCCCAGCAGCTCCAGTCCTGTGCACTGGCACCAGAGGCTGTCTGCGGAAGAGATTCTTATTCAGATCCTCTTCACCACAATGACATGATGGCCAACTTTGTCATGTGCCTGGCAAAAATAGAGGCTTCAGCACAGTGTAAGTGGCTTGCATCCAGGGGCTGAAGTGCCAGCATGTTTTCCAGACCCTTTCAGCTCATGAGACAGACCGTGACAGGGGAAAAACAAAATTAATAGCTGGGCTGCAAGTGCAGGTAATGCAGACACACAGTACAGGGATTGTGGAAGGTAGGATCTTGTGGGAGAAGGTACCCGGCAGCTTATGGGGGAGCGGGATTTGGTCACTGGAGTGAAAAGGAACCCATTTTTCTTAGGCAGGAGTGGTAGAAGTTTGACTCCCTGAACAACCAAAGTGTAACCAGGGTGGGTCATCAACCCCCGGCATCACCCCAACACTGGTGTTATTGTTGGTACCGCAAAGGGATTGGATCAGGTTATTAAAGGTCATGTCTAATTGTGTGCAGCCAAAAGTGCATATACTTTTAGTATCAACAACACTTTAGGCCTGATTCGAAAGCCAATGAAACCACTGGGAAAAATCCAGTTATTCCCTTGAGTTTTCTCCTCTGAGACTGGCCTTATGGGAATAGTCCCACAAGAACCCAAGCTGCCAGTGGAACTTGGCTACTTGCATGCTACATAGATGGAAAACCAGGACATATTGCTTAAACATGAGTATTAGTGAGTCCCTGTTGCTTGGTACAATATTACTGCCATGCATGACCACGGAGGATTTGCTCCAGAGCCTTGCTTCATCCCTCTCTCACCTCTCCTCTCCTCTGTTCATGGAGCTCTGTGTGTCAGAAGCAAAACCTGATTGAAAATAGGTTATTTATTTTAAGCCAAGACATTCGGATCAAGTTCTTAGGATGTCCACTGGCTAAAATACCTGATCCTTAATCTCTGCTTAGCCTCTGACTTTGCACTTGACTTAGGAAGAGGGTGTGATCCTGTGCTGCTGGGATGAGTGCTGATGCAGCCCCAGGAGACCACGAGCAAGAAGGCTGGCAGAGCAGGAATAAATAGGGAAATGAGCAGCTGCCTGAAACCCATGGGGCCAAGGCATGACATCTGTTCTCAGGCAGGACCCAGCTGCTGAAAGCAAAGTGTCTCTGTGTGGGCAGTGGGCGTTGGCCTCGCTTGCCGGGCAGCCCATGGGCTTTATGGCATGGGGGCTGCCCTAGATATTGGCCAGCACAGCTGGCTCTCTCCAGGGTTACATTGCCATTTTCAGGTGCTCCTCCAGTTTATGAGTAGAGAAATATGCGTTTTGGTGAAGACCTTTGGGCAGAATTTGGCCACCCTCAAGTGCTGTAGAAAGCTCACTTCCAGGACACCTACCTCCAGGTTACACCCAAGCCACATGCAGAGCAATGCATCCCACTGGCTTGGTGTCAGTGTCTTTTGATGGCCCCTTTCAACAGCAGCCTGTCTCATCGTGCTGTGCATCCCTCCCATGTCTCTTAACTTGCCCTGGCTTCCCAGAGTGCTTTCCAGCCTGCACAGGGGGATCGAGCTTCAGCAGATTCCTTGGGTGAAGGAAACAGGCAACCCAGCAGAGATTCCCCTACTGCCCCCTATGTGTGATTGCTCCCAAGCCATCCCAAAGCACACCCTAGTGAGGAACTGACACCAAAAAGAGAGGCAGAGCTGGCATTACCCTAAAAGCTTGCTTCTGCTGCTTGGAGGGCAGCTCCCTGCCTGGCTCCTCATTTCCATCAGCAGGTTGCCCGGCCTGGGAGCAGCTGAGCCAGGCCTGGGGTGGACAAAGCGTTGTTGCATCCAGGGACTTGCTTCTCCCAGCAGCCCTGCACCTTGAAAGAAAGACTGGACCCTCTGCTGTGCAGCTCCCAAGGAGAAAGCAGGAAAGTGGTCAGTGCGGAGTCAAGCATGGTTTTAAGCTGTTAAAATGCTCCTCTTCTACTTCTATTGTCAGTAAAGAGAAATGGGAAAGTCAAACTCCTCCACATTTGGGGATAGTGAGTCTCTTGGTGCTCATGAACAGCAGGATCAGCAGAAATGAGGTGCCTTTGCTGTGAGGCTGCAGAGCTGGAGCAGTGCCATGGTGGGGTGGGGAGCTCTGGGCATTCAAACAAAAGAAGTGGACACAGTTAAAAGGATTTTCTGATATTTGTTTAGCTTGGCTGCTACACTTTGCTGAAGAAAAGGAAGGTTTTTGCTAAAGTTGAAACAAACAGTAGATCAGAACATTAAATAAAGGGTTAGCAAACCTGCCAGTAGTGCTAAGTCAGGTATGCTGATGAGGTCAAAATTTAATTCCATACTGAAATTGGAAATTTCAAGTACAAGTGTTCACAGCAAGCCGGATTACATTACCTATCAAACGTCCAGGTGCTCTGAGGAGTCTCCTCCATTGTCATTTGTCCGATCAGTATTTACAATAGTAAAATCCACTGTGGAAACAGAGACAGAAGGAGATCAACTTTTTAGTCTATATAGGGCAGACACAGACTGGAAAGCTGGAAGCTGTCCAGCCTAATGTGGGGCCTCTTGAAGACTGACAAGACCTGCAGGGCCATTTAAGCATCTTCCTCTGATCTTCCCCCCAGTCCCTGTCCACCCCCTCAGCTCCCCCATTAAATTGTACTAAGAGTAATTGAAAAGTGCTAGTTCAGTGAGATCAAGAGAAGAGGGCTGGAAAGATAAGGAGAGTGCACCTAGGAGGATTGTGGCTCATGGAGGGATGTTCAGCAGGTAGTTTGATTGGGGTGCTGGCAGGGAGATGCACAAAACTGCCAGTGCTGTGATATCAGGCCTCTGCTCAGTGCAATATATTAGCTCAGGCCAAAAAAATAAGCAGTTGTCATGGTTTGAGAGCCCCAAAAATCCAATTCCCTAGTCCAAGCCCCCCCAACCATGACAGCAGTATAATGGAGTAATGTTTCTTCTGCTCCAACAACATCCTGTCGATCCACCTGAGGATCTCCTGAGCATTTGGTGGAAACAGAGGTGTTCATCTTCTCATTACTCCTGTGGCAAAATGAGCAGCACGAGTAACTCCTTGCAGGGGTGAGTAAGAGGTGCACAGCCTAGGTTGTGTGTCCCTTGCTCAACATTGTACTGTCCATCTGCAGAAAAGCCGGGAGCAGATCTGGTGATACACAACATCCGAGTTTGTGACTTAAGAGTAGTGATTATCATAATTAAGCAGTGGTCTCAAAATACTCCCTGGGTTACGAATGCTTCTGTGCTCAAGTAAAGTCCCATTTACCTAACGGAGCAAGGGCACAGCAATTTTGCCCCAGAAGGCTTTGTATGGCATATTAAATTTGTATCCTCAAATTACACATCTAGTTAAAGCACTCATAAGTAATTTTCCTAACTGTTTGCAGAATAAACCTATTACCAAGTTAAAATTAAATGAGCAATTATCATATAGCATAATATAATATAAAAATTCACTCCTTACAATCCAATCTAAAATTCACCAAATAGAACAGCAATCCTGTGCAACTAAGCAAACAGGATAGGTGTGAAATTAAACAGGATATAGATGCATTGTGTGAGAGAGATTTGGTGGTGGAAATGAGTCACCTCTTTGTCAACAGCACT